GAGGCTCTCCTAGACGTCCAACAGGTTCTTTGTGAGCATGAGAAACCGGAGCCCAAGACAGACCAGGACACAAGAGGGCCAGCACCAGAGGCTAACAGACGCCCGACACGGGGCACCATGCGACACCACCTGCGGAGCACAGCACGTGGGGCAGGACAGCACCTCGAGGGCTGGGAGCAGCAGGCAGGAAGTGGATGTGGATGGTGCTGGAGGAGCATCCCGCCCAGCCACACCCCCTAGTGTAGGCAAACTCACCAACTGCAGGTCCAGACGCCCACGCCTCCCCTCCCCTTACAGGCATTTACTCATTCTGTGCCGCCCAATGACACTCATGAGGACACTGAGACCCAGAGGGTCACATGGGGAAGGGTGGGGGTGGGCACCTCACACCAAGCAGGTGCCAGACAGTCTGCACCTCCGTTTCCCGGAGGGAGGGAGGGCTTCACTTCAGGCAGTGCAAGTGCGATGCTCCACACCAGGCAAGAAGGCATCCAGCTGTCTGCTTGCCCCCACCCACCCGGGCTGACAGGAAAATGCCCGCTTTGTGCGGCACACACAGCCCATTGTGCAACCGCCAGCATCCAGGTGGGGGCCGAGCTGCGCCCACCATGCCGAGCCTGGCACTGCCCCCAGCCCCTCGCTGGACACGTGTCTCACATGGTCACCAGGGAAAGACCCACTTATGTGACCCTGGCCCACCCACCAACCTTGACAGGTACCAAGATAGGCCAGCCCCCTGGCCCAGCCACCCTTGTTACAGTTGCTGGGACAATGAAGAGCAGGGTCGCCTAGGTAACTGGCTGGCTGAAATGCAGTGAGGGACAGCTGTGGTCACTGCAAGCTGTGCCCCCCACCCCCACATTATCTCCATGAGGAGGGATCTGAGGGCAGAAGCTGCACCAGCCTCCACCAGGTCCAGATACCTTCCACAGCCTCCCGGGCTGGGGCCTGCCACAGAGCCAGCACATAGGTAGCTACAAGCAGGTGGTCCTCACAGCCCCGAAGGCTGTGCCCCACAAAGGATACATCTTGACGGCCCCAGACCTGGTGCCAATGGCCATGATGCGAAGCTCAGGGTCGAAGGCCAGGGCGCTGGGCTGGTTGGGGAAGCCATGCTCCACGGTCTGCGGGGGGAGGGGAGGACACTTGCATAGGCACAGCTGCCCTGGCCCACCCAGGGGCCCACCCCAAGGCAGCCTCAGGCTCCGCTGCTGCTGTGCACCAGGACTCCAGCTGGGCCCCCGTGCTGTGTCTGCAGCCTCACTGAGAAATGGGCAATCGTGCCGCCAGTGGGTACGGAGGGGCTGAGCCAAGCCCCCGTCCCTCGGCACTTGTGTCCCTCCCACTGTGTGCAGGGCGCTGACAACAGGCAGGAAGCACAAGGCTCAGAAGTGGGCCACCTGCCCCAGGGGCTCTGCCCTTATTCCTAGGGGCACGGACTGAAGCTTGGTGAGGCACCATGCTGTCTCGGGTCCCCCGTGAAGTCCATGGTACTTCCCAAACACAGGCCCCACGTGGAGGTCAGAGGCCAACCCCCAAGGTCATCTAGGCAGAGGCTCGTGACAATCTCCCCAACCCCAGTCAGAGACAGAGGAGCTACCTGCGCAGGCCCTGAAGGTGTCACCCACCTCCCCGACTTGGGTTCCCCAGCTGGAAACGGAGCAACAAGGTCCCACCCCCTCTGTGGCAGGGATGGTGTGAAGAGGGCCTGTGCACTGTTGGTATTAATGGAATGGCTTCCACCTGGTCCTCTGCTCCTGGCAGGGCCAGTCCCAACATACACTGGTCCCAGCTTCTCCAGCCCAACTTGGGCTTTCCCTCGTCGCCGACCCACCCAAAAAGCTCATACTCATCCCCCGAGGCCTACCTGGGGCCTCTGCCTGGAATGTCTATACCCCAACTCCCTGTCCTCAGCACCAATGTGGGATGCCACCTGTGGGCCACAGATACCTCTTGATCACTGCCTCAGCAAGACACTCATTTTTTAAGAAACTGTGATTGCCTGGACAGGTGGCTCAGTTGGTTGGAGCGTTGTCCCATACACCAAAATGTTGCAGGTTCCTTTCCTGGTCAGGGCACACAATGAAGTTAAGGGTTTGATACCCAGTTTGCGTACGTATGGGAGGCAACTGATCGATGTTTCTCTACCACATCGATGTTGAGAAAGAGAGAGAGAGAGAGAGAGAGAGAGGAGAAAAGAAAGGAAAATAAAAGAAACCCGGGTCGCCAGGCCTCTTGCCTCAGCCTCCCTCCCGCCTCAGCCCATCCAAGCAGGGACGGAACCCTCCGGATGCTGGCCTTGGGCTAGTCACAGCACTCTTCAAGCCTCAGTTTCCCATTTGAGCACTGGGGGACAGGGAGTCCACTGGAAGACACAGGTGCCCATTTGGCTGAGGGTGGGGGGCAACTTCCCTTTCCCACCAGCACTGCTATGACAACGCTGGACCTGACTGGCCAGTCCCCCCCTCTGCTCAGGAACCCTCCCACCCCAGGGCTCCCAGCTACCTGGAGAAGGTAAGTCCTCACATCTGGACTTGTCTTCCTCCTCCCACTCTCTCCCCCTCACTTAATTCTAGGCCCAGTGGCCTTTTGATCTCCTCCAATTTACTAGGCAGGTTCCTGCCTCAGGGCCTTTGCATCTACTATCCCTCTACCTGGAATGTGCCTTATCCAGCACTCCCCAGCACTCGGGGGCCCCTAAGCCATCCTGGCTACAGCAGCCACCCCTGCTCACAGGCTCCAGGCCCTCACCCTACCTTTCTGCAATCCATAGTACTGGCACCATCCAAACTGCTGCATATTTTGCTTTTCTGTTTTGGCTTTTCACTATCTCCTCCACTACGACATCAGCCCCCTGAATGAAGAGGTATTTGTCCCTTTTGTCCTCACCACCTAGAACTCACACAGTCAGAGCTCAGTGTCAAGGGACATAGAGTGGACACACCTCCCACAGGCAACACGTAGACAGGGCTGGGATGTGGACCCAAGACTGAGTCCAAAGTGGATGTCTGCGCCTGTCCCCCCAATCCCACTAGAGAACCTGGGTCTAATCGCTCTTATTGTATTTTTGGCATCTATTCTCTAGTGATCACTTACCACCCCCTCTGGGGAGCCAGCCCCTTGCCCAAGACCACCTCCCTCCTACCATTGCTGCCCACTCAGAACGGGTCCTCATTCATTCTGCTTAGCGGGGAGCCCTCCCCTTTTGCCAAACAGGACCAGCCAGGGGGGCAGCCTCCTAGCCTCCCACCATCTGCTGCATGTCCCCACTTCACACCCAACTCACTGGCTGAGGAAGTGACACCTGAGCTCAGTGCCTGCCCCGCAGCACTGTCATTCTCACCTCGCAGGGGTTTGGCACAGAAGGGGGACCTGGGAGGCCTTCCCTCTGGGCCTGCAGGCTTCTGGCAGGTTCCTGGAGAGTCTGAGGGTCCTGGCAGCCCCACCACCTCAGAAGCCCTGCCCGCCCCGGGAAACGCCCTGGTGCCTCGGCCCCTCCAGGTCTAGCCGGCCCAGAGCTTCCTCCTGGACAAGCGTCTCTTCTCGGACCACAGCAGCCCTCAAAGCTACAGTCAAATCCCTACCAATAAGGAGGACGAAGTGACCCAGTTCTACCTGTGACTCTGGGCAAGTCAGCACCCCTCTCCGAGACTCCATTTTCTCACCTGGGTGCCGGGCATAACAGCTCAGCTCCCCGGGAGCCTCAGGCCTGTGCGGCAGAGGGCTCTGGGCTAGAACTCCGGGGGGGCCGGCGGCCACCCAGGCAGAGGGTGGTGGGGGCCGAAGGCTGGCCTGTCCTGCCCGGGGAGGACAGGGGGCGGCCCTCCATCCCCCGCTAGGCTGCAGGGCTCAGTGGACAGGAGGCCCAGCAGGGAGAAGAGTGGCTCCACGTCCAGGGAAACTGAGTCCCCACAACCTGAAGCGCAGGGGGGTCCACAGCCAGGCATCTCCCCTGGAGCCCTGGGTGAGGGAAGGAGGGGAGGGACATGGAGGGATTCCCCAGCCCTCCCCCTCCCCATCTGCCTCCTCTCCTCGCCCCTCCCGCCCCACCTGGGCTGCCCCGAAGGCGGACAGGGATGAGGGGAGCCTCCAAAGAGGGACAGAAAGATGGAGCGAGAGACAAAGTGAGAATTCGGGAAGCCCGCAGGATGGAGAGGCAGCGGAAGAGGACGGCGCCGCTCGGAGAGGCAGAGAAACAGGCGCGAGATGATGGGAAGCGGAGAGAAGACCCGCAGAGACGACACCCGGGGACCGAGGCGGGGACACCTCGCCCCAGACGCGCGGGCAGAGTCTGAGCTCGGGGGGCGGTCAAGCCGGAGGG